AAACAACGTCAAACATCTTTTTTTGAATTGGAAAGGAATGTGGAATTTCCTTACGGGCTCATCCGATCATAAATTTTGGAAGATACAGAGGGATATTCTGATGCACAGTTTTACCAAATCAAAAAAAGCGAAAATTTAAACTAAAATTTATATATGTTTTTTCTTATAAAAAAAATAAACAATAAGGATTACCCACAAGATTAAAGCAAAACATTTTGTTTTGTGCTTTCTTTTCTTTGTGTTTCCTTGGATTAATGTATAATTTGGCAAAATTTTTTATAATTATTTATCACAGGGAAACGAGGAATGCCTACACAAAGAAAAGAAAAGAACTAATTCTAGTTTTATTAATGAGCCCTTTTGTTTATACGTATGATTATTTTTTTATGGTATATATAGCTAGAACAAAAAAAAAAAAAAAAAAAATTAAGTAAAAAAAAATTTCATATTTTTTTTATGTCCTTTAATTTAAGAAAGTCATTTGTTTTTTTTTTAACAATGATTTACGGGGGTTATAGTCGTCGAGAGACAAGTTTTTGAGGTTGGGAGGATAAGTGAGGGATTAAAATTAAGATGTCGATCACCTTAATATCTGATTTACCCTTTCACTGGATAATACAATCAAAAAAAAAATTTAATAATAATAAAAAAAAATAAAATAAAATAAACCCCCGCCAAAATTTTGATTTGTTTGTTTTTTTGAGTGTTTGACGAACATCCAAGTCATGTGATTTGTCGTTCAATTTAATCGACATTGTAAAATAATGATAACTGGATAAATAGAATTAACAGAATTTTATTATTCTATTCATACCGTTTTACAGTGAATGTGAATGAAAGAAATGCTTGTAAACGATTCAAATAGTGTTAGTGTTAGTGTAAATGATTCAAATAATGTTAATAATGTTGACCAAGATGCTGAGCAAGAAGAGAAGGTTGGTCGATATAAATAAGTTGTCTCTTTACAATTTTTGAAGTATTAGGCCAACCTTTTTTTATTCTCAGCACTTTCGTAAAGTGCTTAATACCTTTGCACTGTACAAGTCATACGCACTCTCCGCGAATAATCGTCGTCGAACAGATTATTATGCCTTATCGGAACGCCATAGAGCCTTAATACCAAGTTATCTAGAAGTTTTAAGTAAAGTCGATCAAGCAATCATAAAAAATCAACTTGTTTTGAAGCAAATATTAGCCGATAGTCGATTATTTTCAAGAGAGGATAAAGTATGAATATAAATATTCATTTTTATCAATTTCAAATTATTCAAATGTATTCAAATGACCGAATTGTCGCGTCAATTATTTGAAAATTTTATATATCAAAATATTTTAACTATCGGTTAGGACAGTTTCCATCCCAATCTTCAATGTGATAAAGATTCCTCAACACAATTTCAAATAACAGATTTCGATATGGATAAATTAAGAAGTACAATCAAACAATTTGTAAGAGAATGGGCTGCGGAAGTAAGAAAATCTATTATATATACGTGTAAAAAAAACCGAATTATATTTTTAATAAACTATTCTTTATAATTTGGTTAAATAGGGTCAAAATGAACGAGACGCGGCTTATAAACCCTTACTTGAGTCATTGATGGAATTTTTTAAAGATGTTCCAGTTGAAGAAAGGTACTATTAATCATGTAATGTTCAATCATATATAATTACTTTCAAAATTTATATAAAGTTTGATTAAAACAGGCCTTCAATTCGTGTGTTAGTACCGGGTGCTGGATTAGGACGATTGGCTTTTGATATCGTAAAACAAGGTATTGTTTGGATTTGTTCAAGAATCTTAAGAATCTTGTGAATATTCCTAATTAATTATAAAATTCGTCACTTACTAATGTAATTGGTTTTTGCCAAGTGTCTTCTTTATGTTATAGGTTTCAGCTGTCAAGGTACTAAAAAAGTTTATTTGTTTACCATCGCATTATTATAATTACCGTAAAGTAATTTTAATTTTATGATCCATTAGGAAATGAATTTTCATTTTATATGGTATGTTCTTTACTTACTTTTCACTAACAAAGTAGGCACAAAAAAGCTAATTGGTCGTCGGATAAAAACTATCTCAGCTATTGGCATCGCATTTTATTTTAAACAGGTACGAAATAATACATTTTATATATACATACATTTTTTTTGTATATTTGAATAATGAATAAATGACATTATTCTATTCACAAATAATTTATAGAATTGAGAGAGTTCATCAATATGAAATATATCCTTTTGTTCATTCATTCTCTAACATCGTATCATCTGAAGATCAACTACGACCTGTATATATACCTGATGTTCTACCAAGTAGCATACCTTCTGGTGTAAATTTTTCGATGGTAGCAGGTGATTTCGTTGAAGTCTATGGTGACGAACAGTATAATGGTGTGAAATTCTTATTTCATTTGTAATAGTAATACGATCAAAGCTGATTACATTAATAAATTTGGGTAAAGATTTTATTCATTCAACTGATAGTGTTACTATATCTAATTTCATTTTTCGTTATAACATTATTGTAATCAGCTTTACTGTAATTATAATATCTACTTATTTATTACGGGTAAAAATTTAATATTCACTAATAATTTATCAACAGATCAGTGGGATTGTATAGTAACTTGCTTCTTCATCGATACGGCAAAGAATATTTTAGAGTACATTGAAATATTTCATCGTATTCTTAAATCGGGTGGTCTTTGGATCAATTTAGGTTTCAATTATTAATTATTCTTAATTATTCTTAATTCATTTAATTCCTACTCACTCTGACTTATAATTGAACTTTTCCAGGCCCATTGCTGTATCATTATGAAAATTCACCCGATGAAATGTCAATTGAACTAAACTTGGAGCAGGTGAAAACCGTAGTAAAAGATTTTGGATTTCAAATCCTAGTAAGTTATATCTACATACTTCATTATAATAAAAAAGTTTCGTGATTTTTTACTTTACTCTTTATTATTAAATAAGAATGAAAAATCGATACATACAACATATACTTCTAACCCAAAAGGGATGTTGAAGTATTTATATGAGTGTGCTTTTTGGACGTGTGTGAAACAATAGAGGTAATTTTGATTGATCAAATACATCTCTTTGTTAACTATTTAATTTGAAAATATTGAAAAAATTTTTCTATTCTAATATAATTACAAAAAAAGAATAGTATTAATAAGTAACGTATTTTTAGTAGATAAATTGATCCTAAATTTCAGGTTTTATTTATTTTTTTTTTTCATTAGAAGTTTAGGCGCGTTTATTCTCCTGCGATCATTATAGTGAAATTAATAGGCTTTTTTTAATTGTTTTCCAAAAACAAAAAAAAAAAAAAATCTATATATGTTTAGTTATTAAAAGTATTTATTTGATCGATGTATATTGCATCGACTATAAATTAAAATATACATAACTTTAAGCTATTATATACTTTTTTTTAATTTTTGGAATGAGGAATAAGGCAATTAATCATATTCAGATTGTTAAAAAAAAAAATAAAAAAAATAAAATTATATTTTGTGCTTAGTTTATTTTCTGAGTGCTGTCTAGTGAAAATCTATCATCGGATTTCAATTATATTTTGT